TCTCCATTGTATATTCTTGCCTCCTTTGTAAAAGATTAATTGACCATTAGTGTGTGGGTTTATTCTGGGCTCCCTATTCTGTTCCACTGATCCATATGTCTGTTTTTGTGCCAATACCATGCTGTTTTGATTACTGTAGCTCTGTAGTATTTTCTGAAGTCTAGGAGGGTTTTTCCTCCAGCTTCATTCTTTTTCTTCAGTATTGCTTTGGTAATTCTGGGTCTTTTGTAATTCCATTTCATTTTAGGATTGTTGTTCTACTTCTATGAAAAATATCCTGGGTAATTTGATAGAGACTGCATTAAATCTGTAGATTGCTTTGGGTAGTATGACCATTTTTAACAATATTAATTCTTCTAATCCAAGAACATGGGATATCTTTCTATTTCTTCAGATCATCTTTAATTTCCTTAATCAGTATTTTGTAGTTCTCTGTGTATAAGTCTTTCACCAACTTGGTCAGATTTATTCCTAAGTATTTTTTGTGTGTGTGTGCGCACTGTTATCTTAATTGTCTCCAAAGGTCTGTATTACAGATTTCTTTTCTGAATTTGGAAGTCACTTACAAAAAAATTAAAATTTTATGTAATTGTTAGTTGTGTCTTTGGGCAAGTCACTTAACCTCTCAGGACATTACTTTCCCTGAAATGGGAGTAATTCTGTCTACCCTGTGAGGTCCTCTATGACCTCTGCCAGGTCACCCAGTGATTGTCTGTGGGATGCCCATCTGCCTCACCAGACCAAGAGCCCGAAGGAGGGGGGTCTAACTCACTTGTGTGCTTCTGGCTCCTATAACCAGGCCTCAAGTGGAAGGAGGGGATCATGGAGGCTGGGCCCAGAGGTCAACCTTGATTTGAGGGAAAAGGAAGGGATACAGAGGTGAGGACACACCCAGGGTCTGGAAAGTGGCAGATACACCACTGAAGACTGAAGCTGGCAGGTGACAGCTACACCAACAATAAAGATGATGGTGCTAATTTACTGGGCCTTTGCCATGTGCCAGACACAGTTCTAAATGCTCTACCCAGACTCATTTATCCTCTCAGTAATGCTATGAGGTAGGTACTGTTATTAGGCAATGAATACAGAGAAGTGAGAGGGCCACAGATACCAGACTAGGAGGCCCATCCAGTCTTTATCCTATTGGTTCTGGGAGCCATGAAGGCTTTGGAGGGACAGCATACTCAAGCTGTGCACATATGCCCAGGAAAGCTGAACGTGGCCATCTCTCTCCTGCAGAAACCATCCACAGAGCAGCCCGTGTACAGCAGCAGCCTCTGGGGCCCAGTGGTCGATGGCTGTGACTGCGTAGCTGAGGGTCTGTGGCTGCCGCAACTACATGTAGGGGACTGGCTTGTCTTTGAGAACATGGGCGCCTACACCGTGGGCGTGGGTTCCCTCCTCAGGGGGGCCCAGACCTGCCGCATCACCTATGCCATGTCCCGGGTGGCCTGGTAAGGGGGCCCTGCTGGGAAGGGGAGTGGGGGGAGGAGGAGGGGGCAGGCTGGGCAGAAGCAGTGGGGGAAACCCGAGGTTTGAGACCCTGCTCTGGTGTAATCCAATGTGACAAGTAGCTCTTGGCTGCTGATTCCAAGAGAGGCCTGTGCTTGGCACCTGGCTGTGGCCATGAATGAGACTGAGCTTCCCTTGAGGAGCTGAGTCCTGTGAGGGACACAGAGAAGCAGACCTGATAACATGGTGCTGGGTGGAGGGGGTGGGCTCTGGAAGCTTAGAGCCCCCGAGGCCCAGATCTACCTCCCTGAGGAAGGATGAGTGGGAGTCAGGTGGCAGGAGGCAGGAGGGGTGGGAAGGGGGCTCTAGGAAGAAGGAACAGGGAGCGAGCATGCCTTCCAGAAATGACATGAGGTTGGTCAGGGCTGATCTGGGAATGGCCTTGAAGGCCGAGCTAAGAGCTTTGAGCATTTGGATTTTTAGAAATACCACCCTCACCACTGGGTGGATTCAGGGAGGACATGGGCAGATGCAGATGGAGCCAACCAGTTGGGTGGCTGCTATGTGACCCAGGAAAGACCTGACTGCTCATGGAGCTTGCCCTTGCTGGGCCAGCGTTGGGATCCAGTGAGGCAAGATGGAAAAAAGTCACACGTGTTGAACCTTTCTGTCAGACCCTACATTAGGCATCTTATGATAACTTCCTTTTATTCACATGAAATGCTATGGGACCAGTGTCAACACAGAGGTCACTAGCAGAGGTCACTACTGGTCAGCAGTGTATAGCCCCTCCTTTGGGGGCTGGGGAGATGCCTGCAGAGGGCAGGAGCACTTGGGAGGGGTTTATGCTGGGGTCTCAGGGGTGAGTGCAGCCTGTGTCCCCAGGGATGTGCTGGATGCTTGAGGGCCCGCAGGGACAATGCTACCAAATGCCAAGTCTGACAGGTTCAGTATGAAAGTTGCATGTCATTTATTCAGTCAACAAACCTTTGTTGTTTCTACTCCCTGCAGGGGTACAGGATAGGCTGATGCAGCTATTTTGACATCAGGGGTGTTTTGACAAGGCCTAAAAATCAAACTTAAGAAAACAATAACCACACAGGCTTTATATCACCCTGGCCCCATCATCAGCAAACAAAGGTGGATGAGGCTGCAGTAGCACTCACTACTGGGAACAAAAATTTCTGATGTATTTATATATTTTTTAATTAAAAAAATTTTTTTTAGTTTTTTTTTTTTGAGGGAGGGGAGGTAATTAGGTCTATTAGGTCTATTTATCCAATAATTTTTTAAATGGAGGTACTAGGGATTGAACCCAGGACCTTGTGCATGCTGAGCGTGCACTCTACCACTTGAGCTATACCCTCCCCCTCTGATGTATTTAAATGGCCATGTCAAAGAAATTCCCCATATCAAAGGGGCCTCATTGAAATGTCCTGCTTTACAGCGTGGCTCTGTGCTGGGTCCTGGGGGGAAAAGAGCCTCTAAGAATGTGGTAAGCCAAAGTATGCACACCTGCACACAGCATAGAGAGGGCAAAGGTCACTAGAGAAAGAGGGACAGCAGGCTGGGGAGGGTGGTGAGGGCTGCTTCTCAGGAGGCATCGCCTGATGGATAAGGAGGAGTTAGGCAGGCACAGGAGGGCCAGGCAAGATGACAGGAGGGAAGTCGTGGCCGAGAGGTGTAGGGGCTTCAGAGTCCAGTTCATCCACAGAATTTTAAGTAGCTCTGTCTGGCTAGAGTGGCATGTGGGGAAGACTGGATGAAGAAGGACCTTGGAGGCCCTGGTTGGGCTTGATCTTGAAGGCAGCAGGGAGCTAGTGAGAGGTTTTAAGAAACTTATCTTTCAAAACCCATTTTGCAAGATGAGGAGACAAGAGGCTCAGATAGAGGATGCTTGTCCCAGAGAGCCTTCAACCTGGAAGGGAATGGCCTGACCAGATTCTGTGCAAAGATACTGACTACTTATTTGCTGCTGAATTGCACACGTCAGCAAAGAGGGAGGCCTTCCTGCAGGGGGGGACTGGAATAGGCTGGAAGTATGAAAGGAGGAGGATGTAGATGGAAGAGGAAGGGTCTTGTGGGGAAGCAGATCTAAGCAGAAGTAAAGGACAGGCTGTCATGCCACCCTCCCTCCCCTCAGGCCTCCTGAAACAGCCCAGGGCTCCTTCCCTGTCCTCACACCCAGCGTCCACCCCTCCACCAGTAAGCGTTCACCATGTGCCAGCCTGCTGTTGGGGGCACTAGGCAGTGAGTAACTCAGATACGTTCCCTGCCCTGCTATAGCTGAAGGAATGCTGGGGAAGCAGACACTAAACCCTATTGTTATCAAGGAGTGCTGGTGCTGTGGGACTCAGCAAAGGGACGGTGATGCGGGCAGAGGTACAAGCATGTGCAGAGGCCCGGGATGGGATGCACGAGAGCCCAAAAGACAGCTGCTATGGATGGCAACCAGGTGGCACCACTGCCCATGGTGGGAGAGATTGGCAGGGACCAGATCTTGGGGGGGCCTGAGAGTGGAGGGAAACTGCTGGCAACTCAAGAGCAGGGATTTACTTTAGAAAAGATGGACCTGGGTCAGAATTGTCTGGAGGGGGCAAGAGCAGATTAGGGAGACTGTGCGTTCTCGGATAGAGACGGTCACTGGGAGTGGAGAGAAGTGGACACCTGTGAGGATGCTCTGGAGGTGGGCTCAGGAGGGACTAATGGGGGTAGAAACGAGATCCCCAGCCTGGGGCTGGAGCAGGAGCCATTATTTACACGGATGTGCAGGGGAAACAGCTTGCAGGGCTTTTGAGGGGGGCAGATGATTTTTGAGTCCTAAGCTTCGGGTCTGAAGAATGTGGGCTTTGAAATGAGCACTGGGTTGAATCCTAGTTCTACCACATTCTGGGGATATGACCTTGGGCAGGTAACTCCCAAGTCTCAATTTCCTCATAGTAAACAGGGATGATAATGTCACCCTTACAGGGTTTGGGGACATACAATTAGGTATTTTAAGTAAAGTGCCTGGCACAATAATGGGCATATCAATGAATGTGGGTTCCTTCTCCTTGTGGGCTAGACGACCGGGAGAAGGGAGCAGGGGGGAAGAGGGCTCAGCAGGCCTCTCCCTGCCCCCTCCCCCAGGTCCTGGCCCCGATGGCCCTGAGTCTTCTGCTACAGGGCCATCAGGAGTCCCTGAAATGCAGGCCCTATGCTGGCTGCTTCCAGTGCCCCCTCTTGTTTGCAGGGAAGCCCTGAGAGGGCAGCTGCTGCCTGCAGAACAGGACGAGGACGCCGAGGGCATGTGCAAGCCGCTGTCCTGCGGCTGGGAGATCACAGACACCTTGTGCATGGGCCCTGTCTTCACCCCAGCGAGCATCATGTAAGCGGGCCCCGTTCCCCCCAGGAGAACCCCAGCGGGGCCGCAGAGATGCCTCTGGGAGAGGTGGGGGAAGCGGCAAGCAGGGGCACCCTCTGGCCAGGACTCTGGTGCTTGCTCTGCCGCCCCCCACACTCCACCTGTAGTGTTTCTGCCCTGTAAATAGGACCAGTCTTACACTCACTGTAGTTCAAGTATGCAACATAAATCCTGTCCCTTCCAGCTGTGTCCGCCTCCTCTGCAGCGCCTCTCCTCTGCACACCTCTTCTGTGGGGGTGTTCTTGGGGTCTTCCTTGGTCTCCTTCCCACCTTTGTAAATATGAAGCAAATAAATATTTAGGTTTTACTAATACTCCAGTGGAATCCAGCAGTTCAATTCACAGAGCAGCCTGAGTTAGACCAGGGCCGAGGCCTCCCCACCCTCTGCTTCAGTCGGGCTGCAGTGTAGGCATCTCCTACTGGCACCCAGCTCCTCTGACTCCTCTCTCTTGTTTTCACAAGCGTCCATGCCTGGCGTAATGAGGAAGGGTGAGCTGTTGGGCTGGGGTGTGGGGGCAGGGTGGCCTCTCTGCAGCACTGGAGCTGCAGCTCATGGCGGGTGAGGGGGTCTCTGTGTGAACCCAACACCCAGCTGAAGGCCTGGTCCCAAGTTGGGACAATCGAGTATTTGACACAGCTTTTGGAAATTCATACCAAAGACAAAGAGCAAAGAGATGGGTATCTGGGAGGTTTTGAGGAGATCCTGTTCCCCTCCTCTCCTTGCAGGTCATCATGGCAATCAGACTGATGCAAGTGCGTGGTAGTTGGTTTTCCTTATTCAGGCGGTAATTTGCTAGAACACCACTGGCCGTGGAGTACTGGCACATCCTGTGCCAAGGGCCCTGACGCTGGTGGGCAGTTCTTCTCAAGACAAAGGCTCCCTCACATCACTCAGGTCTCAAGCTCTGCACCTGCAGTGTGTGAGCTGCTCAGCAAAGGAGTTCATATTTCAGAGTTCCCCCAGCTGCTACAGGTGACCCTAAACAATTTTCTTCTGGAATTGAAAAAAATTGAATATAATTCACATGCCTTAAAATCCACTCTTTCAAAGTATAGATTTCAGTGGTTTTTAGTGTACTCACAGTTTGTGGAAATCACCACTGTCTGATTCTGGAACATGTTCATTACCTCAAAAAGAAACCCCGTATCCATTAACAGTCTCTCCCCATTCTCCCCTTCCCCCAGCCCCTGGCACCCACTAATCTATTTTCCATCTCTGTGGATCTGCCTGGTCTAGACATTTCATTGCGATTGTTTTTATATCTTCACTTGAGTGTCTCACTGGGTAAGCCTGGTAAAATGTGTGTGTTTTGTTTTCCACACCACCAAGCAATTCTCTGACACCAGCTGGGTGTCCTACAATTCAACTCAATTCTGACGCTACCTACCTAGAGATAGAATCAGATCCCATGGGTTAAAGGCTCAGTCTTACAAATCTGAACAAAAGAGCAAGGAGTCTGAACTGAATTCTGCAGGCAGTAGGGAGTCCTAGATCCTTCTGGGGCAGAAGCATGACAGGACCTTTGAGAGGATAACTGACAGTGTATTCAACTGGGGCAGAGGGAGGCGACCCAGTAGGCCGGTGGGAGCATGCACATCCTTCACTCCCTGGCCTGTTTAAGGCGAGCCCAGCCAGGGATGGACACAAGTTGTCATCTCTGCCTGCCCATGCCCCGGAGGAGATGGTGGCTCTCTGGGTGTCACCCTTCCCTAGGAAACTTACCTGCCCGAGTCAGCTCATTCCAGCTGTAAAGGGACCATAGGGAAGGCAACAGGATGGGAGTTCCCAGTCAACCTTTTGCTCCATTTTAAACCCTCTTCCTGGCAGCTATGGGATGAGTAGCTAGGCTTGTGTAAATTTAACCAGCAAAATTATGATTTAGGCTCCTAGCAGTCAGAGGGATCTTTTTGAATCATAAATCCGACCTTGTCATTCCTCTGCTGAAAACCCTTCAGTGGATTACCACTGTGATGCCAATAAAAGTTAAATTGCCTGAGATCTCCATCCACTTTTCAACCTCATCTCCTGCCACTCTTTTCTCACCACACACCAGCCTACTGGCCTCTTTTCAGTTCCTCACACTTACCGAGTTCTTTCCTGCCCCCAGGCCTTTGCCCTTGCTGTTCCCTCTGCCTAAACAGCTCTTCTTCCAGCGTCTTCCAGGCTGACTCATTCTCAGCTTAAAGGGCTGATGTTAAATGTCGCCTTCTCAGGAAGGCCTTTTCTGTACGCTGTATTCAAAGTGCTCCCCCTCATCTAGTTATGTGGAGTCATATTTTACAACAATTAGATTCTAAAGGCAGTATTTAAGGCAAGAAACACATTATCAAAGTTGTCATTGAAAATCCCGGAGGAAGCAATCATATTGGAGGCAGTACCTCATTCTTCTCTGTGTTCCTGATATGCAAGGCACATTTCCTTAAAACCCCAAATAGCTCCATGATCTCTCTCCTTCACACTTCAGGTCTTTGCTCAGATGTCACCTTCTCTGACCTTCCTGACCAGTCTTTAAAACTGCAACACTCCTGCTCCCACCCCAGCATCCCATGATCCCCCTTACAGCCTTACCTTTCCCTCTCATAGCTCATCACCTGACATACATTTTACTTAAATTAAGCTCTGAAAGGCAGAGATGTTTATTTTGTTCACTGCTGTGTTCCTAGTGCCTAGAACACTGCCCCACACAGATGTTCAATAAATAACTGTTGAATGAATCTTTCAAGTCTCAGAGTGGTATCTCCCTTTTCTCTTACTCTATGCCTGGGTACTGCTTCTCTAAGCTTTCACAGCATGCTATATTCACCCACAGTAAAGACCTGTTGATCACAATGTATTGTAACTTTTCTACTTGTCTTTCTGCAAATCTGTTAATTCCACAAGGAGAGGGAATGTTACTCTTACTTGCCAGTGTCACCTGGATCCTGGGTTTGTACTTGGGACAGAGTAAGTGCTTAGAGTCTTTTGAACGAACTAGTCTTGGAGGATCGGGGATACCCCTGAATCCCCAGACAGCGGTATCTGGTCCCTTCTCCTCAGCTCCTGAACAGCAGCCTAGATCCTGCGAAGGACAGACCACTGACTGTAACGGGCTGGAGGCCCTGCAGGCTTGCAGGCTTACACCCAGGAGGAGAGCGGGTCCACATACCAGGGCACTTAGGCGGGGAAGCACATGGGATGTATCAATAGCTCTTTCTTCCCTTCCACTCAGCTGGGTGACCATGAGGTAGGGCTACCATATAACATACAGGATGCCCAGGTAAATTTGAATAAAGATAAACGACAGCTACTTTTTCAGGAAACGCATGACCCACGCACTATTAGAGATATCCCTATACTAAAACACTGTTGTTTATCTTAACTTTGGGCGTCCTGCATTTTAGCTGCTAAATCCGGCAACCCTACTCCGCAAGTCTATGTCTCTCTGGGTTCGTTTCCCCCATCTGTGGAATGGGGGTATTTCTGTGACACTTGCCTCAGGGACTCCTCAGGCGAAGCAATCCCCCACCTCTCGCAAGGCTGTCCCTCCCCTCGGAGGAGTGGGAAGCGCTGATTTCGGGAGACGTTCTCGGTGGGTAAATATGAACAAGCCACTGCCTCTTGGAGCTCCCTTTTCTCATCTGAGCCTTACAACGCTCTTACGCACCGCTTCGTGGAACTCCGCTTGTTCGGCTTCCAGGCGCCGGAACAGCCCATCATCTCTAGTCCCAGCCGGCGCGGATTTCCGGCTGCGTGACGTCACTTCCGTGTCAGAGAGCCTCCGAGGCCTCGCGCCCCGCGCTCTGGCGCCCCCTGTCTGCCCGGAGGAGGGCCTGACTTTACCAAACAGGGAGAAGAGACAGACGAGTCCACTGGTTGAAAGACGGACGGACGCAGCTCGCAGCCTCCACCAATGGAAGACCGAACCTTCGCCGAGGGCGGGCCTCCACGGGCCAGGGGTCAGTCTGGGACCCAGGCTGCCAGGAAGACAGGGACCCTGTCCCGGCCCGGCCAGAAAGGCTAGCCGGAGCAATATCGGAAGTGGGCTTCTGCCCACCAGCTACTTCCGCTTCCCCTTACAAAGTAGGGGGAGACTTGAATAACGAGACCAGAGAGCTGTACGGATCTCAGGTGTCCAGTGTCATCCACGCTCATCCATTTCATTCCCGAGAGGAGACTCGTGATGAATTCACGCAGAAAATCGTAGGCTTTGAATGAATTCTTGACCTGGAGGCCAAGCTGTTTTACGTTTTAAATAATAAAGAGTACTTACTTTGTTCTATGCCCTGCCCTCGCCCTTCACTCGCATTTTTCGTTTAATCCGCACAGGCCTGTGAAGTGGATATCGCAACACAGACTTCGACCCCTCAGTTCCTGTGTTGGGATCCTGGCTCTGCCAGTTACAGCCTGTGTTTCCTGTGCCACAATTTTTGCATCTGTCAAATGGAATCTACCTTATACCCTAGTTCTAAGGGTTAAATAAATTAACATATTTAAAGTGCTTAGAACAGCAGCTGACGTATCCACAGGAATCACTCAAGTTATGCCTATTTATAAATTAGAAAACTGAGGCTTAGCTATGAAGTAACTTGCCTAGAATAGATAGTAAGTAGTGGAGGCAGGTTGGGAAGCATCTCTACCTTTCAGTCGTACTCACCCAGCCGTCTTCCTATGGAAGCCTGTGGGGACCATAACTGCCTTTAGAGCAGCACATGTATTTATTTAGTAGGATCCTATCACCAAATGACTGCTCTCTGGGCATTTTAATAACTCCAGTTAAGATGATGAGGTTCTATAACTTGTTCTATACATCTCCAATGAAGATAGGCTGTAAGATCCAACTGCTAAATCTCATTGATATAAAAATTAGCAGAAATGAACTTCTGAAAATGTTCAATTTGAGATCCTGTGAGAGATCCAAGGTGTGATTTGGTGTGATAAGTAGTATGCTAGTGGAAAGCACAGGGTCCAAGGAAGTCTGAATAGGGATAGAGATAACTACCTGCTAGAGTTAGGATGGACTTGGCAGAAGCAGTGGATAGATGTAGAAACATTTATGGATGAGTAGGTGTTGCCCAGGTAAAAAGTCTGGGGAAGTTGAGGGAAGCATTCTAAACCAGGGAAATGGTGTGTAAAGGGATAGTGGTGTGATAATTCAGAGCTCTTTCTTGGGAACTGGAGTACCGGACGGAAGATGAGAATTAAATGGAGGCATATTGTGAAGGGTTCTCTCCTGATAGCAGCAAGTCAACAGAAGTTTCTGAGCAGGGGTGAGATCAGCTTTGCACTGTAGGTGGCTCACTAGGAGGCAGTGAAAAGTATGCAATAGACAGTCTCTAAAATGCCCCCAATAACCCCAAATCCCAGCATTCCCACCTTGTATAATTCTCTCCCCTTTAGTATGGACTGGGCTGACTGATTCCATTCTAATGACTTGAATATGTTAGAAGTGATGGGTTATCATTTCTGAGACTAGATTACAAAAAAACCTGTAGCTTCTGTCTTGGGCACCCTCTGTTTTTGTCTTGCTCACTTGCTCTTAGGGAAGTCATCTACCATGTCATAAGCTGCCCCATGTGTCAGGAACTGACGTCTCTGTCCACAGCCAGCAAAGACTGGAGGACTTCTAATCACCACATGAGTGAGCTTGGAGGTGGATGTTCCCCGAGGTGAGCATCAGCATGACTGTGGCCCTGGCTAACACTTGATGGCAGCCATGTGAGAGACCCTGAGCCAGAGGTACCCAGCTAAGCCACACTCAGATTCCTGACCCACAGGAACCATGAGACAATAAATGTTTGTGGTTTTAAGTTTTAACAAAAATTTAAGGTGATTTTTAACGCAGCAATAGATAACTAGAAAATATAAAGAGATTAGAAGCAAAGAGGAAACAGGGTGATTAGGAGAGGACACTTGTTCCGAGCCAGGGAAGAGGTGCTGAGAATCTGAATTAAGGCAGTGGCTGTGGGAGTGATGAGCAGAGGATGAATCTGAGATACGTCTGGGGAAAATGAGAAGGCATTTGGCAGTGGAATTGGTTGTGGGGATGAGGGAGAAGGCAGGGGAGAGAACACCACCAGTGTTTGGTAACACAGGGGATGGTATTAGCTAGAGTTACCAACATGCAGGCCACTGGGGATGAGTTTAAAAAGTATCTCCTTGAGATTTCTGGCAACAACAAGATAGATCAACGAACAGACTCTAGGCTGGACAAAAAGAAGACAATCTCTGTGGTCTGGGAGGAAATATTGCAGAAAAATAGAATCGAGGAAGTAAAAACTGGAAGGAACTCTCTTCCCTCAGTTAGATTTACTTGTCAAAGTGTACAGCTTACCCCTCTCCCCTTCATCCAGTCATTCATCTGGCAGATATGTATTAAACGCCTTCTCTGTGCCAGACACTGGTCTAGGCATTGGGGACATAAAAGTGAGCACAAAAGTCCCAGCCTTCATGGCATTCGTATCTTTGTAGTGGGAAGAGAAACAATAAGACTTTCAGCTCCTGGCTGTTACTGTCACCAACAGTGCTTCTGTCTCAATCTTTGATGATTTCAATACACACAGAGATGACCCTTCTAACACTGTTCCCTCAGTTTCTTGCTTCAAAGATCTTGTCCTCTCTCCACCTCAGGCATGCACTCCATGGTCATACCCTAGACCTTGCCATGAATCTAATCCTCTAAGCAACACCCCATGTCTTTCCAGTTATTCTCCCTCCCATTCTGACTTCATCAACCCTTCAATGCTGTTAATTTTAGTTAAAACTTTTTCATTAAAAGTAATAGAAACCGACTTTTAAAGGAAACAAAAATGAAAAGTTTGGGGAATTGGTTGCAAGGGCCTTGTGAATCAAAGGCATTGTTGATTAACGGGTCTGGGAAGGATCAGAGCAGCTCCAGGCAGCCACAGCAGCAGAGGTTCACAGACATTAATGTAACTCAGCTCCATTCTGGGTCTTACATTCCACATTTCAGATTCCTAGGAAGAGAGAAGCTGATTAGATCAGTTTAAATCAGGTGTGTCTATTCCAGATCAGTCCACTATGGCTAAGGAAAGAAGGACCCATTGTGAGCTGTCAGTGGCGTTGTTCACACCTCTATCCTCCAGCCACTGTATTCCTAAAAGGCAGCATGAGCTCTCTGAGCTCTTGGAGTCAGCAAGCTTTTTCTGTCGAGAGCCAGATAGTAAATGTCTTATGCTTTGTGAGCCATAGTGTCTGTGTCACAACTATTCTGCTCTGTGTAGGGTGAAAGCAGTCAGAGACATTACATAAGTGAATGACCATGACTATGTCTCAATAAAACTTTATTTATAAAACTGGAAAGTGGGCCATAGTTTGCCAATCCCTACGTTGTACATTCTAGATTTTTTTGCAGGGGGAGCTAATTAGGTTTATTTATTTTTATTTATTTGTTTTTCAGTGGAGGTACCGGGGATTGAACCCAGGACCTCATGCATGCTAAGCACATGCTCTACCACT